CATACTATACTGAGTCTCAGAGTGTCCCATGTAGTTGTGTCATATCAATAGTAGTAATGAGCACCAGTGTGTCCAATTTTGCCATACACTTGACATATTGGTATGGAGTGTCGCCGCTTCTTCTCCTCTTTTGATGTTATAGCAACTTTCTCTGTTGAAATTATTTTTTCGTCATCCTCCTCTATTAGGTGATTGAGACGGTGGGCTCTAATAGTTTCTGTTGTTCTTGAAGCTGGAGAAGTTTGTTGAAGGTCGTCGAGACTCAAGTTGACCATTGTTGAGTAAAGTTGTTATAGTCATCTTTCGTAATTGAACAATCGCGATTGAAGCTCTACCCAGATTATGCTCTCTTTCTCAGTGATTTGACACACTAGTGGGTTGTATTCAGGAGAATTTAAATTGACAAGGACTTGAGAGGTGAGATCATTGAGTGTTATAGAGTGTCTTGCCAAAGCAAGATTGTCTGTGATTACTTTGATGGATTTTAAGTATTTTTCCATCTTCAAGTTCTCCCTTTTGCATTTTGACAAATTCTCTCTTGTAATAGATTATGTTTGCTCTTGTTTGTACTACGAACATGTCTTGGATAGCATCCCATATGAGTTTTGATGTTGAGTGCCACATCAACTTGGAGGCTGTGTTTGTTTCAATCGAGTTGTAAAGCCATCCTAGTGGCATTTGATCTTGTGCAAACCAGTCTTCGAATTCTAAGTTTATTGTTGTCTCGACTTCATCGCTTCCTTCTACTATTTTCTCTGTGTATTCCGATGGACTAGATTTGGCACCAATAAAAAAACCTTCGAGTTTGTTTCGTCTGATGATTGGGAGCACCAGGTTCTTCCAGATGAGATAGTTATCGTGATTGAGTTTCAAGGCACACACCGAGCTCATCGAGCTGGTAAGAAAAACTTGAATTTTTTGAGGTGTTGGGTTAAAGATGGAGGAGTTGTTGTTTTCTCATGCCATGACCTAAGCTCTGATACTAAGTTAAGAAAACTGTTTGGTTTGTTTGTGATGGAAAAGCTGGACAATTCTCAACTTGGGCTATTTCTTCATTGATTAAACAGTAATGATCATACATCCAATTTATAGAGCTTGGCTACTCTTTATAGGACTTCATGGACTTACACACATCACAAGAAAATAAGAAGCATTTACAGATGATCAACACAAAAGAACGAAAAATATGCAGAACTTTAACGATTTTCAGGAAGGGATGATTGTATTTTGCAGGAGGACGATAACCTTGATAAGTTTGCACCCTTGTCTTGTTGTTGGATATCGCTCTTCTGACTGTTCAGTGTTCTTTACATGTCCCACGTTATACATTCATGTATATGTAATTATTCAAGTCAATGTCTATATATATTAGATGGAATTATTTAGCTTTAAAAGTAAACATGAATTTAAATTTGTAAATTTATAAATTAATATGATATACTGTAAATTTTATTTTAAATAATTATTATTTTTAGTATCTTTGTTAATAAGAGAAATAAAAAGCAAAATTTTTTGAAAAAATAATGGGTAAGAAAGCTAGGCACTCGTGCAAGTAAATTTGAAAAAGAAAAAGAAAAAGTGGCCATGTTAGCAAGTAGGGGATCAAGACTCCAATTTATCAGCCTCCAGACAAGCTGAATAATCTGCGACCTTCCCAATAGCATGTATATATTTCCCTCACGTGAGAACTTGCAATCTCTCACGTGCGGAACAGTCTTTTCCCATACTTTCAAGATTCACGGGTGAAATTTATGATTTAATTATACATCATAATTAAATCATAGTTGAATTGTAATCAGTACTCGTCCTACAATTCGATCTTTATTTATAGAATTCCAGGGTATAACACAATTTTAACATGTAAATTAATTTTCAACATTTAAAATTAAATTATTAAAAATAAATAATTTGAAATATAAATTTAATAATTATGAATAATTTTATTAAACCAACATGTCTTACTCTGTAACACCTATCATAATTTAATATATAACTACGAAAATTTTTATAATAAAAAAAATCATATGTATAAATATTTACTTGAATAATTTGATTGTTTTCAATGTGAACATAAATATTAAACATTATGCACTAATCCCTTATTCATTCTCTAAATAAATAAATGCTATATCTAACTAAAAATCCAATCAAATACAGCTCTTGGATTTGTTAATAATAAAATCGCAATTAATGTTACAAAATAAATAATGAGTTACACGTGATATTTTTTTTAAAAAAAAAAAGAAAATTACTGTTAGCATTCAATTTTTTTGATAATTTATAAAAAAATTATAAATCAAACTCATTTAAACAATTAATTCAATTTTATTTTAATAATTATAATTAGGACAGAAAAAACATAACATTTTACTATTTCTTTGATGCACTAGAAATAAGATTAAAAAAAAAAAAGATTTATATTAGCTTAAGAAAAATTTGGTGTCGGAAGTTTATGTATTACCATCATACGACTCTATTAGCTCGTTTTGATTAAAGAATTAATATCTGCCTATTTATTATAATTAATCATAATTTAAATCAATTATTAAGTCACTTATTAGTTAGTATTTTAATTAGAAAACAAAAATACACATAGTTTACTAATGTGTCTGCAAGTATGAAACAGGCCAGCTATGAGCAGTCAAGAATTCCCCATCAGACTTTTGTTTATCGGGGAATTTAGGGCTCTGTTTAGCGGATAATATCAAACTATTAAATTATACGTTCGTCTAGATTAATTAAATAACAAATTAAGCCTCGTGAATAGTAAGCTAAGTGATGGATAACATTAATTAATTAATAATTTATCTATTTTCAGAGTATTTATTCAGTCTGTTTAAATACATTGTATTTATATAATAAATTTGTAATTAATTAACTGTATATGTGAAGCATCTCTGTCAATCTAAGAAAAAGGCATGTGCATTTTGCACCATTCATGTATATTCACCAAAGGTATATTAATTACTGGTTGTTAATATAAATTTGTGCAAGCCCAATTAACAAGTAATTAATTAGATTGAATTACATAACATAGTTTCCAAATATTTTCCAGAGAATTAGGAAAATTTTGCCATAAAAAAGTTTTAACTATAAACTTGTTAACAAAGTTGTTTTGAGTGTTTTTAGATCACAATAAAAAAAATTAAAAGATAAATCATTAACTTTATTTATAGAATATTTACCGTAAATTTTTAATTTATTTATTACAAGTAACGGTAGAGTTTGGCAAAAGGAAAATTCAAATTAAGCACCAAGGGGCGCAGCGGCTCCTTTCTATTTGAGGACAAAAGCCCAAAAAGGCTGAGGATGCCCAACGAAAGCTGTCGTCTTTAAATTTTAAAATTTGCTAGCTTTATCCAGCTCATCATAATTAATTATTTATTTATTTACATATATTTCAAGTCCCTTCCCTCCCTTCACGAGCACTGCGTGTTTTTCTTCTCTACCATTTTAGTGTGTCAGCGCGTCATCTCACGTGCCTTTCGCCTAGGATCCCCACACCCACTCGCTGACTCACAGCTGGACCAGTCCACGCTTCCCAATAACTATCTTTTCCAGCCTGTACTCACCCAACGTTCTTTCCCCATCTTGCTTGCTTGCATTCAATATTTTGACATAACCAAGGGTCTTTTCGTCAATTCATTGCCAACCTGTACTAATCCTTCTCTTTTATTGCACGTGATTTTCCCTCGGTTGCCTCTCACGCTCCATGCACTACTTCCATTAGGATTTGGCGCGTGGATGATAAACCCCGTCCGAAACGAGATGGGCTACGCAGTTTGGAGCTTTTACTTGCTGGCGGAGTTGCAACTCGGAAATGGCAAAACCCAACCCCCACTTTCCTTTTTGTCTATTTCTCCGCACCTTCTCTTAAAATTCTACCTCAGAAATTAAACCCCTTTTATGCCTATATATATACCCTGTCACTCCCGTCTCAAATCACAAACCTCTCTCGGCTTTTTACCTTTCTCCGCTCTCCGCTCTCCGCTTCTTCTTCTTCTGCTTCCTCCATTGTTCTGGAAATGGCTTCTTTTCTCTCTCAATATACTCTTCTGAAGCTTCTCTTTGTCATTTCTCTGTTTCAAATCTCTATAGCTGCTAGGAATCTGGGTGAGTTGGTTCAAGACCAATCTCAGCTTTTACACTACCATAATGGCCCTCTTCTTTCCGGGAAAATTTCTGTTAATCTCATTTGGTATGGGAAGTTCAAATCTTCCCAGAGGGCCATCATATCTGATTTTGTTAACTCTCTCTCACCTTCAATGTCGAAAACAGAGCAACCCTCGGTTGCCACGTGGTGGCAGACCACAGAAAAGTACTACCACCTCCTAAAGAAGTCTTCTTCTGCTCTCTCCCTCTACATGGGAAAGCAGATTATTCACCAGGACTACTCGCTTGGGAAGTCCCTCACGACCAGGCAAATCATTGAGTTGGCATCGAAGGGTGAGCAGAAAAACGCCATTAATGTCGTTTTGACCTCTTCCGACGTCACTGTTGAAGGGTTTTGCTCGAGCCGATGTGGGACTCACGGGTCTGCTCTGAGCTCGATTAATGGCCGCCAAGGTAACGGGAAAGTCTCCAAGTTCGCTTACATCTGGGTTGGTAACTCCGAGACTCAGTGTCCGGGTCAATGCGCCTGGCCATTCCACCAACCCATCTACGGGCCACAGACCCCGCCTTTGGTGGCTCCCAACAACGATGTGGGTCTTGATGGAATGGTGATCAATTTTGCCAGTCTCTTGGCTGGGACCGCGACCAACCCATTCGGCAGTGGCTACTATCAAGGCGCTGCCGAGGCTCCATTGGAAGCTGCGTCGGCTTGTCCAGGCGTCTATGGCAAAGGGGCTTATCCTGGGTATGCAGGGAACCTGTTGGTGGACTCTGCAACTGGAGCTAGCTACAACGCCAATGGCTCCACTGGGAGGAAATACTTGCTTCCTGCTATTTATGATCCTTCCACATCGTCTTGTTCGACTCTGGTGTAGAAGATGATGTATTGATTAGTCTCTAGTAGCTTATATACATGGTAATTCTTTGATTTTTTTGATTTGTTTCGCCCATGCGAATCAATAATAGAAGAGCAAATTACGTTGGTTTGCTTTCTGATAAAAAAGAAAATCTAAATTGATGATTGATGAACAACGTTCTTTTCCGGTTAATCCAAAATTGGATAAATCTAAATCAACGAGTAACCAGTGGGATAAAAAAAGGGAATTGTTAAAACGTGATTTTTCTAATAAATAATTTATTATTCTAATTTAAATAATAAATTAGAATAATCAATTCAAAAGTTTAGAATTGGTAAGAAATGATAGAACATACAACGAAAAATTTTATCACTTACTGCTTCATTGATGGTTAGTATATATATACAAATTAAGCTGTAATTTCATATATATATATATATTCTGGTTTACCAATTATTTTAGAGTATATTATGATTTGAGATTTTGTGTAACTTATTTATGAATTTATAAATTTAAACTCAAACATTATAAAATCAAGTGGAGTATAAAAAATCTCCCACACATTGCAGTTTCTCTACGTATTTTATTTTTTTAGAATTAATGTTATTTTTAAGTAATCATTAAATAATATTTTTTTAAAAATAATTTATTCACATAATATGTTCTCTTTTTAAATTATTTTTTTGTTGTAACATAAGATATATATTTATATAAAAAGAATTCGTTATATGTTACTTAATTAAATAGTTAGTTTATATATTTTTTTTTATCATAAGTCATTGATATAAGATAATATATTTTATATATTATCATTTGCATATTATTTTACATTATGTTATATTTTTATCATAACATAAAATATGTGTATGTATGAAAATATTTGTCATAATACACTGGTTAGTTGAATAATTAATATGTTTTTTATAAAAAATTATAAATACAAATTAAGCTGTACTTCTGTATGTTTTCATTTTACAAATTATTCTAATACTACGATTAATGAGTTTGTATAATGTATTCATGAATTTATCAATTTATACTAAAATATTAAAAAAATCAAGTGCAGTTGAAGTTTTAAAAAATCTTTGCAAAATATCCTACACACACCACCCACCAACATTACACGTTTTTCCACACATTTTATTTTTAGAATTAATAATAAAAATAAGTAATTACCAAAAAATAAATCCGACAAAACCGCAGGTCGTATAATCTCCCAATCTATGTTCATCCCTCTTGTCTCATAAACTCACGCGCCAACTCAGGCCCATTACATATAATTGCGTTTGTGATAAACATTCCTTAAACGCGTTTTACGTGACTCAGTGACTCACCCATCCATTTCTCTCAATTTTGTCCTTTTCGGTTTCCGTATTTTGTCCTATTCACCTTAGCTGGCTAATCACTGTAACGCTAAATTCTTTAATTGATTCGGTTTGAAAGCTGGCGATAGCTTCGACGTGTCTCCTTCTTAACAACAAAACGCGTTGTTCATTATCGATGTCTGGCCTAATTTCACCGACTCCAGTTGCCGCACTTTCGTCAACCTTACGCTGCTTCACTGCTCATTATTGTTTGCGCTATATATATCTCGTCGATTCAGTCTTATTTCTTCATCAAACACAAGACACATTTCCCGCATACAACAATCTAATCTGATAATTCTCTTCTTCTGTTTATTACTTCGCGATGGTCTCTTTTCTTTCTTCCTGCAATAAACTCGGTTTGCTTTTCTTGTTTTCGGTGCTTCTGATTGGGTTCAACTCATGCGAAGGGAGACGACTCGTTGAGTCCAGTGAAACCCAGCAGCCATTGCAGTTTCAGTATCACAACGGCCCTCTTCTTGGAGGAAAAATCTCCATAAATCTCATCTGGTATGGCAAGTTCAAGCCGTCTCAACGAGCGATTGTTTTGGATTTTGTTGCTTCACTCACCTCGGCCGGCAAGTCAACAACAGCTCAGCCATCTGTTGCTACGTGGTGGAAACAGATTGAGAGATACTACCAACTCGCGAAGAACAAGAACAGACGATCCTCTAATCTTGTCCTCTCAATGGGTAGACAAATCTTGGATGAGAATTACTCGTTAGGCAAATCGCTTACGACTCAGCAGATTGTAAAACTGGCTTCAAAGGGTGCGCAAAAGGACGCCATCAACGTTGTTCTGACGTCTGCGGATGTGGTTGTCGAGGGTTTCTGCATGAGCCGGTGTGGGACTCATGGGTCCGGTCTTGGTTCAGCCAGTGGGAAAAGATCCAAATTCGCTTACATCTGGGTTGGCAACTCGGAGACTCAGTGTCCGGGTCAATGCGCCTGGCCATTCCACCAGCCCATCTATGGACCACAGAACCCACCACTTGTGGCGCCCAACAACGACGTGGGTCTTGATGGAATGGTGGTGAACTTGGCTAGTCTCTTGGCTGGAACTGCAACCAACCCATTTGGGAACGGCTTCTTCCAGGGACCAAAAGAGGCGCCGCTTGAAGCTGCTTCGGCTTGCCCGGGAATTTATGGCAAAGGCGCTTACCCTGGCTACGCTGGCGAGCTGTTGGTGGACTCTGCTACCGGTGGTAGCTACAATGCTCACGGCGTCAGTGGCAGGAAGTATCTGGTTCCAGCGTTGTTTGACCCTGCTGCGTCAACTTGCTCTACTTTGGTCTGAGGATTGTCAAATAATATATATATGCAATAGGAATGCAAAGTATATAAAACTAAATATATGGAGAGTGTATCTTATACGTATTATGGGAGAGATTCTTTCATTCAATTGTTCTTTGTACTATAAATTCAATAGAAAAAATTGAGTTCTATTTCTTGGGCCTATTTATTGATTCTCCTTTCTTAATTGCCCGTAGGGTAATCCAATAACAATTTCTTAACAATTACTAATAAAGGGTGAAAATGATTAATTTTCCATCTTAATTAATTAAAATATACTTATCGTAATTAATTTTATATTAAATTTAAAATGAGGTTAATTTTTATTATTTACATAATTTTTTTTTTTACGATTTCATAATTAATTTATTTAAAATTTTAACTTAATTTAATTAAAATTACTAAATTATACCACCCTTCAAAGTGAATTAATTGTAAATTCATCAATAATAAATTGTATATTTAAATCATATTATTTAAATTTAAAACGCATAATATTTTTGTATTATAATGCCATTCTAACATGCACAAAAGACGCACCCGCCCAGGCCGCATTTGTGCGGCGTACGGTAGCCACGCGGTGCCACAGAAAGAAGCCACCGTCCGTCCACTAACTCCAACACGCACTGAACCACTAACATTTCTTCAACGCCAAGACCGCCCACACGTGAAGTCGTCTCGTTCACACCTCCCCACTCAGTCCCCAAAAATCAAACCTCTGCCACTACCCATCGACTACCCCGTATTTGCTGCTAGTGGTGCTGCCCCAAAATAGATGGCTCTCAAATTTTCCACTATTCTCTTAAAATTAATTAATTTTTTAAATTATCTTAATAATTAATTATATTTACAATTCGTGTTCATCTTTTGCTAGTAATATAATTATATATAGAGAGAGAGTTTAAAAGTTTTAATTAATTAAAAGTTACATTGATCTCATCTCCTATACTAGCAAAAGATACCATGTTGCTTTTCTTAAACTTAGTTATAAAATTATAAAAAATTTAAAAATAAAATTAAAATATTGTATTTCTACACCTACCCACAAGACGAAGATCGATTTTTTTTTTTTTTTTATATTTTTTATATAATAGTGGGGGAGGTACATATTCGTGGACTGACATCATGGCATGCAGCAATTAATCAGACCAAAGTTCTTGATGTAAGAGAATAATCATGTACAAAATATATTAATAAATTAAGACAAAGCCATTCAAGCATCATTACCTTCCTCTGAAACCTGAGCATCCCACCATTAATTATTATTTTCTTTTTCATTAATGTTTTACCTCGAGATCAGCAGCATCTTCTTGCTGGATTTATATCATATAAAAAAAATGTAAATGGAGTTTTATTGATTAATCATTATTTTTAATTAATTAATTTGTTCATTAGTGTCTTGAACTTAATAAGCTAAAGCAAGAATAGGGAAGATAGCATTGTCTTTTCTAATTTAAAAAGTGAAAAATGATTTCCCTTTACCTCTTTTTCTAGAATTATCAGTAGAAGCATCTATGAGATATATATATTCTTTAAGTAAATTATCACAATGCTAATTAATTAATTTAATGAACAAGCTGGAAAGCACACACATAGATAAGTTATACTAAAAATTAAAAATTATATAATTTTAATTGAACGCGTAATTAATTTAAATAAAGTTAATATTTTCATGTAAAACTTTATTTTATTAAATTAAAATTTTTCTTAAAGATTAATGGTATTTTTTTCGAAAAATACAATGAAATGAATTGACTTTCACTACGTCAACGTGCATATTATTGGCATTAATTGAATGAGTGGTTTCCGGGCTGGCCATTTATTCTGAATTGCTAAACAACCATATTTATTGCCAAGTTTTCTAAGCCAAATTAATTATTAGCATTAAGCGGATTTATAGTTTCTTACCCGCTTCATTTATACTGCTTAGCATTTCTCAACAAGAAACTAATTGTTTTAATTTTAAAGAAATTACGATTTCTGTCAAAAAATTTTAAAAAAGTTTAAATAATAAATCGTAAAGAAATTATTTTTTGTTTTTTTGTTTTTTTTTTTAATGAATCGATTTCAAATACTATTAGTAACTTAAAAATGAAGTATTTGTTATCAGCCTAAAAATAATAAGCTTGTAAACAAGAGAAGAGGTAAGTGTCCCCCCATTAGGACACCATTGATCACATCAGACACCTCAAAAGAAATCCCTGCCTTGGGCAAAGCCTTCGCTTAAGCACCAATGGTCCCTTCCTACAATCACCCAATCAAATCCTAGTGCCTTTGACACTTATCCACAGAAAGTCAAACCCAACCCCCGGCCTTTTTCCTTGGAAATTATAATTCATGCTCCATTAACCCACTCAGTGACTCAGCACTTCTTCGAAGCTTACCTTACACGTCGCGCCCCCCCTCCCCACCACCTATAAATACGATTCACCAATTCATTTCTTCCATCACTTCTCGCTTTCACCACCCCACGGAGTGACGAAGCTAAAACTTTCGTCTTATCTAATTTCTGAATTCGGTCGTACAGTTAATTTATTGCCATCTTCTTTCATGGCTAGCTCTATAATATTTTTAATTCTATTGTTTTCTTATCTGGGTTTCTTTCTTGATCCTTCCTTTGCTAGAAGTCCATCAGCTTTGGTTGAGGAACAGCCTCTTGTCCTCAAGTATCACAACGGTCCTCTTTTGAAGGGCAAGATCACCGTTAATCTTGTCTGGTACGGCAAGTTCTCTCCCATCCAACGTTCCATAATCGTCGACTTTCTTCGCTCTCTCAGCTCCGAAGTTGAAACCACGGCGCCGTCTGTCTCATATTGGTGGAAAACCACGGCCAATTACAGGGGAGGTCCGGCGACCGTTGTTGTAGGGAAACAAGTCCTGCTTGAGAACTACCCTTTGGGAAAATATATTAAAACGACGTCGCAGCTGGCAGGCTTGGTTTCGGAGGTTGGGGAAAATCCACACAGTGCGATCACCGTCGTATTGACTTCCGCTGACGTGGCGGTAGATGGATTCTGCATGAGCCGGTGCGGGACTCATGGGTCGGGCGGTCTCTCGCGGAGCAGGTTCGCTTATGCTTGGGTTGGTAACTCGGAGAGCCAGTGCCCTGGCCAGTGCGCGTGGCCCTTTCACCAGCCGATATACGGGCCCCAGACTCCGCCGTTAGTTTCCCCCGACGGAGACGTTGGCGTCGATGGCATGATTATTAACTTGGCGACAGTTTTGGCGGGGACGGTGACAAATCCGTTTGACAATGGATACTTTCAAGGGCCAGCCGACGCGCCCCTCGAGGCGGTGAGTGCGTGCACGGGTATTTTCGGGAGCGGAGCCTACCCGGGTTATCCAGGAGCGGTGTTGGTGGACAAAACGACAGGAGCTAGCTACAACGCGATTGGCCTAAACGGGCGTAAGTATTTACTGCCTGCGATGTGGGACCCACGGTCTTCCACGTGTAAAACGCTCGTGTGATTGTTAAAAGATGGAAAATAATGGACTCGTGACGTGATGTGTTGTATCTATGTGGAGCTTGTGAGAATTATTTTGCTATAATATTTATCTTAATGTAAAAAGACCACCTTCATTTTCTGGAAAAAAATTTACGAAGAGACCGGATGACTGATTTTGGGCTAAGATTAAGCCCATTGAAATAATTAAACGGCCTCATTTTGGGCTGGATGTTCCAATAAAAATTTCTGAACCCAGAGACCGTATTCGAATTGGATCAGGCGATTCTATGTATGAAACTATCAGGTCCATAATTCACTCCCAAGTGCGTATTTAAATTTGCTTTCTCGTCGTCGTCTTCATCATCTCCTGTTTTCAGAAATGGAACCGCCCCAGGACCACCACTCAGAAGACCAACACTCTCCCAAAACTCCACCCCAACCTGCAAACGCCCGGGCCCCTTCTTGCTGCAGAAATTGCGGTGGCCCTACTACCTATGATCCGTCACCGCAACAACCAACCGGATTTCCCGGCATCTCCCCGCCGCCAAACTACCGTCCTATCCGAGCCCCCGCCATCAATCTTCCGCCTAACCATAATACCCAGGCAATAATACTCGCTCCTGTTCCCCAGGCCCAGAGGGTTCCCACAGTCTCAGCTCCTTACCAGTTCCAGGCCCCCTCCAAGAGGATCCACAACCCCGATGACATTCGACGGTTCCAGGAGTCTCCTGCCTGCCGTAACTTCCTCGGTTTCATCGTCTCGCTTTCCGAGTCCATCCGTGGCCATAAGATTTCCGACCCTTGCGATTGCTCCTCCGCCGTCTCTGCGATTCTCTACGTCCTTGAAACCCTCCTCCGGTGGATCGACGAGATCCCGCCTGCGCAACAATCCTCTCGATACGGAAACATTTCTTATCGGGCCTGGCACGAACGCCTCGTCGATCAGAGCGGGTGGCTCATGCTCGGCTTCCTCCCCGACGAGCTTAAGCCCTCGACGGTGGAGATTGTTCCTTATTTCACGGATAGTTTTGGGAACTCTAGCAGGATCGATTACGGCACGGGGCATGAGACTAATTTCGCCGCCTGGCTTTACTGTTTGGCCCGGATGGGGATCATCAAGGAGGAGGATTATCAGGCTGTCGTTGCTAGGATTTTTGTCAAGTATCTGGAACTGATGAGGAAATTGCAACTGGTATACTGCTTGGAACCCGCCGGTTCCCATGGGGTTTGGGGGCTCGATGACTATCATTTCTTGCCGTTCATATTCGGGAGCTCGCAGTTAATCGATCACAAGTATATGAAGCCAAAATCTGTTCACAATCAAGATATTTTGGATAATTTTTCCAACGAGTACATGTATCTTTCCTGCATTGCATTCATTAGGAAGGTGAAGAAGGGAATGTTCGCAGAGCACTCACCATTGCTGGATGATATTAGTGGTGTGCCGAATTGGAACAAGGTTAACAGTGGGTTGCTTAAGATGTACAAGGTGGAGGTGCTGGAGAAGGTTCCCATTATGCAACATTTTTTGTTTGGCTCGTTCATCAAGTGGTATGAGTTCTGTCCTCAATGATGATATCCCTGGGTGCTCAATTCGTTAACAGCCATGTTTGTTTCTTACGATTTTTTTCATTGTTAAGTTGCCTTTGTTTGATTTTATTGAGAGTATCAAAGCATTGGATAAGCTTGCTTTTTTGTTTTATGTGTTAGAGCTGTTTGGCCAAGCTTTGATGCTTGTGCTGTGATGGTTAGAAACATATTGTTTTGAGAATCAACTTTAGTGCTGGTAACCTTCCTCTGTGAAATCTTATCGAATGTATGTTGTTAAATATTAGTATTTGGTAATTGTGTCTTTGAAGATATGCCAAACCATAATCAGATTAAATTGCATATCAAGTACATTGCTATATCTGATGGATTTGGTCACAGTGATTGGAAAATAATATATTTCATCAACATATATATCTATTTGCTTGCTTAATCATTTGAAGGAAAAAAAGGGTTTTGACACCTTATAGTTTCTCATTGAATGAATTTGGGCTTTTTTAGTATGTGATGGAATTGAGTTCAGCAGAATTTTAACATAATAACATCTTTTACTGCGGTCAAGAATCTACATATTCAATTAAAAGAATAGAAGATATAAAGAATTGCTTAACACCTTAAGGTTTCTGTATTGGTTTCTGATGTGAAGGTAAGGATTTTTGAGTTTTTCTGGGCTTTAGCGTGACATAGGGAATGGTGAATTTATGTTTTGACGGTTCCTCAATTTGGAGAGCTGCGAGTCAGGAGACTTGTGCGTGCAAAATTTTTGTATCCTTATGTTTGCCTTACATTATCTAATATCATAGGTAAAATCTCATTTGTGGGCTGCGTACATTTAACATATCATGCCTATCTTAAATGCTTATATTGATGAACATTTCCTCTCTACTCAAATTTCAGTCTCCAGTTATGTGGGAAAATCCTTTTTATGTCAGAGCTATCATTAGAACCACGAAGCTTTATTAAATTTCAAACATAGGTGAGATGTTTTTGGTGTTTAAGCACGATAACAACTTTAATTTGGTGTAGACCTGTAAGGGACATGCCAATTGTCATGCTCCTATATTGAATTGACTGATTTC